TTTCTACTATGTTCCAGACGACAAGGTTTTTGCCTCCCCGCCGACATCCTGCAGACTGAAAGGCAGAGGGGTCTCGACTAGTCTGACACTGTTTCGAGGGCCGATGAGTAGTACTATGGTCTGGTAGGATTTGCGGTGGGATAGCATCGGAAGATTCGGAACAAAGGAGGCGAAGGGTGGGTTAGTGAATGACGGATGCGATGACACATGACAGTTGCCGGCGGTGAAGACCGCCTTATTTCCACATGCTTGGCAGGACCTACACGGCTAAGCAGGCGTCAACTAATCACGTCCATCCATCATTTTCAAAAGCTTCCAGAAGGAATTGGGTTGAAAATTAATCCAACCGAAATCCTCAAGGAAGCTCAAAATACTGGGACATCCGAATAAGGAAGCCGTTGTGGAAGCCGAGACCTTTTATCCTCCATTTTGATGCAAGTTTCGCACGGTTGAACACAGGTTCTTCGCTCATAGGGATGCGCACCGTCTGTTTGCGGCGACGACCGCCAATCTCTGAAGCCGAGACCGTGAGGGGCCGCCAAAAAGGCCGGGGACGGGTGGTACTATAGAAAGCGGGGACGGTGGTCAATATATCAAGATGGGCTTCAGTCACTAGTTTCCTGCGGTGAAAATGTCTGTTCCTTGCTTCAAAAAAACCTGTCCTTTTCTCATTTCGTGTTAGGCCGCAGTTTTATCTTGATTTTGAGGCTGCGGGGCATCGCGTGAGGTGTTGAACGTTGTTTAAAAAATAGCCCAGTGCGAAGTCGAGCTGTGTGCAGCATTGTTGACCCAGTCGAAGATAAAACCTTTCAGAGATCAATATAACTGGCATTACGCAACATCTTACTGGTTCGCCGATGAAACGCATTCAAAATTCACTACGCCGTCCTTACCCGCCCGTAACCGCCCACAAGTTTGTTTCTGAGGACGGCGACGGTATTCGCTTAGGAAATCCAAGAGGATGTACAGCTTCAAGTTTTGGTAGTTGAGGGACACATAGGTTCGTTTTTCAGGAACGCTCAAGACTACTGCCGCAAAACGACGAGATTGTGATTATCTTACTTGAAAAAAAGCAGATTCAGAGCCCTCAGCCCTCAGCCCTGAGTCTAATTCCAAAAAAAAATTCACCGAACCTGATTTCCAGCTGCTGAAAACTTATAAGAAATATGTTTCCTTGAACGGACGGGGCCTTTAAGCCTTAGAGTAGAGAATCGAAATGGAAGTCGATTCAATTTGGCTTCAATGTCGGGACTGGGTGTAGAACTTGAGAATTAAATCTGAAGCACGAGGTTTTACCCCCGAGACTCTGTACATGCCTTGAACCCTTGGCGGACATCGAGTGGCCTAAGTTAGAAAAGTCGAGTTATGTGTTGTGGAATGTCGAGGCGGGCGGCGGTTAGCTCGGTAGCTGCCCCGCTTCCATCCAGTCTGCTACCTCACGTGGAAAATAGAGTCGGGGACGGATAACCGATAAGCCAATCACTGAATGGCCGCAATTGCAACTTTGATGCAACTTCAGGGAGGCGGCCCGGTGACGAACATTCTGGAAGCTATTTATGGGTATTCCTCCGTGATTGCCGTGATTACCAAGGACTGACCTATGTTGAAAGTGGACGCCTTAAGTTAGCAAGTTTTCGAGGCCAAAAACCGGGTCCGTATTGAACGGTATTCGGACCAGACCTCCAATCCCTACTTTTTGTGGCTTGGGCTTGTGATTTACGAATAGCATTATGCCTACTTTCAATCAACTGCGCAATGCCAGCAATTGACTGCGCAGTCCAGAAAAGGTGCTGCAGGGCCGTGAAGCTCAGGATTGGTTGATCTCCAAATAATAGTGTAAGCATAAATGACGATCTCGGGCCTCGTTCAGGGTCAGGTCAACCAAAATTTCGAGGTAGGTAGGTAGGTAGGTGGGTGTCATTACACGGCCGGTTCGAATCACGAACGCCGGTTTCAGGAATTCTCCCGGTGTACAGTGGAATTCTGGGATCGCAGGGGCCATGAATGACCGATCTGGAGAAATTGTGCCGTCTTCCCATCCGTTTTTCCGGGTAATCCCATGTTGTTGCACCCGCGAAAGCTGCGTGATAGGCTCGGCCGAAGTAAATTCGGACCCCTCCTGCCATGAACATCGCAAAATTCCCTGCCCGAAAAAGTCATTGCGTCCACGAATACGACCTCCTACTCGCCTCGGAGCCATGCGCAGGCGCAGGCGATAGAGTCGGATTCGCTCGCAGAACGCCAATGCCAACTTGCTGGCAACGGGGATGTAAATTATTCTTGACGGCGCTGGTCTCTGCCTTCGCTGCTGGCGTAGTTCTCTGGGTGTCTCGCCGGTTATTGGCCCACAACCACACCCCTACATCTATTAATATTGCGGGTGCCAGGGTCAAGCCTCAGCCTGGGTCCGCGGGGAACGGCGTTGGAGCGAACTTCCCGCCGTCGTACAAAATCTATCACGGGCGGGAGCGCCGTCTCCCGCAGCACAATCTCTCCCTGCCTTATCCCGACGGCTCGCATGCTAAATTTCTCTGGGCAGACAATCCCCGTTCGAGTATGCGCATTTATTTAATTATTTTGCGCTAAATGCTGAGCTGAACCGAACAGATGCCGGGTGGGGCGATTACATGCAGGACATACTGCTGAATGCGTACATCGCCTATGCCGCAAAACGCGCGTACGTTGTCCTTCCAGACGACCGTCAACGCCAATGTTCATTTTGCACTCACACAGATATGTGTTTGACAACTACACCTGGGAGCGAGACGGCCCCGAATCCGAAATTAGCTCTTGGAACGGGCGTCCCATGCCTTCGCGCATTCCGCTGTCGGCGTTCATATCAGGTATGTTAAAATTCCACCCACAAACACACCCGTTGATAACAAGTATACCAGGACCCATCATCGGTGGGCCTATGCGCGATAAGGACGTCCCCAGAGCGGTGTCGCGCGAGTACCATCTGAGTGTGTGCCCCGAGTCGGAGCGGGTCGTTCTGGATACGCGTAGGATACAAGACACCCTGGACGCAGGTGCCACAATCAATCAAATTGTCGACGGGTGGGTTGCGGAGCTGCGCTCGATCCAAGCACCGTGTGTACAGCTCACGCGGAGTAGCCCGTCAGTGTGCCTTTTCTTTTCTCCTTCATCTCCCTGTGCACCTACTGATATGCCGAGAAGAACACTCACGAATACGAATATTGAACGCGTCCTGGATGTCTTCCCCGCCCTCGCTGGATCCCCGATTCTGTCCGACTTTGGCTGGTCGCTGCTCGTGTTGGGAGGATTCTACGATAACATCAAGCATTTTGTATCCCAACCCTCCATGATGGAGTCATCGGCCGCACCGCTGAGAGGGCTTCTTGCGCTGAACATCCGGGGCGCGGACGAGACGCGGTGTACCGACGCCTACGTCAAATATTCGAGAGTCAACGCGCCGACGATAGACCGCCTCGAAACCTACGATGCGTCCGAGTTGACTTTTATGCACAAATATTGTCTGCCCTCGATCGCGGAAATTGTGGACAAGGTCCGCGCCATCAACGCGCCTCATATGTCGCGCGTGTATGTGATGACGGATGCCCCGCTCCCATGGCTCGCGGAGCTCAAGGCTGCCCTGCGCGCGGCGCACACCTGGGCAGGCGTTACGACGAGCCGCGACCTGCGGCTTTCCCGGGAGGCAACGTTCATAGCGGAGGCGGTGGACATGTACGTCGCGCAGCGCGCGGAGAGGTTCATTGGGGATGGGGTGAGCGATAGAGTCTTTTTCGTCAGGTTCTATTTATTGACCGCTCACCGATGTTCATGCAGGTTTCCAGCCTGACGTCGAACATTGTTTTGCTGCGGATGCAGAACACGCATTTGCGTCCTTCTGACACGCATGTTTGGTAGCGCCGAAGACAAGCTAGGCATCCTTGGTAGCCGCAATTGATGTGGTCCAGATACCCGGACAATTCTGGTGTTGTAGATTGGATTGGAGGCAAATAGTAATGTGTATGAGTACTTTGCAGATTATTCAATGGACTTGATCAAATGGAGCCAAAATTCAACCAACTTGGAGTCACCGAGCGAGTAGATAAGTTGACAGCTGAGTGTTTGTCCAGGCGAGGGGTGCACGCCTACAGGGATGTACCGGCGGGTAGGGCACGGGGTACCGTTGAGTACTGAGAACTGAGTCTGCAACCGTCTTGAAAATGAAAATTGTTGGAAAACTATTGTTCAAAGTCGATTGCTGTGACCTCGGGCTGTTGAATAGTTCCCCGGTGAGGTGCGCAGAAACCGATCGCGGGTTTTTCCCTTGTAATGGTTTGGGGAACAATTGGGGTCGAGCATGGATGGTAGATCGGGATGTTCAATGTATACTGTTGAACCACCCTGGCTTGCAATGAAGTGAATACATGCGGCCATCCGGAACGTACTGTAGCCAGAAATATTGGATTTCTGCTGATCCTTTCACGATTCGGGACTGTGAACAAGAACTTTAATGAAGCAATAATTCGTGGTCAAATTCAACCAGCATCAAAACATAAACAACATGTAATTCAACTCCAACCTCTTCTAAAAAACATACAGAGATGTTTAAATTTTATCCACAGAATTGAGTTGTCACACTGGGGCAAAAGCTTAGGCAGGCATGTCCTTCGGATGTGGTTGATCTGTAGGACAATGGCAATTGACACCTTTGTCCTACAGATCAACCACATCCGAAGGACATGCCTGTAAGGCATATGGATTCCCTATGCCTCGGGTTTGGCCCCTGGTGTCATGAGATGTAGAGTATGTTTTTTGCTTGTTTATGTAAAAATATATATCTTACTAACTTGGGCTGATAAACGTTAACGGATGTGAAGTTGAAATTTGTGGAAATCCCCACCATGAGCTCTGCTTCCTCACCTCACGTCTTCCTTTGCCTTGGTTCTGGTTCAAGTCACTTTCTGAAGCTCTGCTTTCCTATGTAATATGGCCTTCTGTACTGGTATTCTTCATTGATCACGGCAATCAATGGCCGCCTGGCGAAATGGCATCGCGTCTGACTACGATGAAAGTGTGCCCAAATGTAATCAGGAGACTGCAGGTTCGACCCCTGCGGTGGTCATTTTCTTGTTTCGCCTAGCGTGTAACATAAGTCTGTGGAATCATCGAAAAGAAGATTGTGGATGTTCTCGTTTGGTTCAACTACTAAAATAATTTTGCATCAAATAAACTAAAATTGATTTTGCAGTGCCAGACAGGAGATGTACACGACGCTCAGCCCAACCAAGTTGGATTATATATGTATCATTTCCGTTGTGGTTCGGGACGAGGGTGAAGCTGAAGTTGAAGTTGCGCCGGCACAACAAGCCAAGAATTCCACAGATCAGACTTCTTGCAGTGACTGAATAAAATTTTGAAATGGTTGAATAGGAGCTGATAAAATTCTATTCATATGTGCACTTGGGAAGCCTGGGCCGAAAAAAGTGTTTTTTTTTGGTCAAAAACATTTATAAGGTCAAGCCAACAAACTCAATGGTGTGGTTGTTCATCCCGGAGTTTGTGGTGCAGACCTGAGACAACAGGACCAACCTAGTTGATTTGGGTTGATCTTCATGCTGGGAACTGGGTAATTTGATTTGGATTTGCAGTACTGCTGTGGGTGCAATGCGAGTTGAAAAGAAAAGAAAAGAAAAGAAAAGAAAAGAAAAACACCAGAGGAGAAGGGCAAATTGAAATTGGTTGGATGGCAATTCAATAGATAGTTTGTGGGGGCATGGAATGGAGGAAGTCAAAGCACTTGATTCTGACTCCTGAGCCGATTCAAGATCCAATTTGAGGCGAGAATTGACTTATCCCTTGATTCTGTGATTTGGAGGAGGAATTCGTTGATTCTCATGATGGGACGATTAGAAGGCCGGCGCCCAATCAACTGCGGTTACCGTTTGATTCACGACGCAAAATCAAACCAGAATCACTGCTTGAATCGACCGAGAATCAGCAACTTTGAGTTACCCTGAATAACTCAGAATGAGTGAACTATGGATAACGGACGGACGGCGTTTTTCGCAGGATGATGCCATCAGCTTGGCAGCCGCAACACGGCCAAACATACGCAGACCGGTGACGTCTGGTTAGCCAAAACCTCGTTGAATTTAGCTGCGACGTGTCCGGAACTTGCCAAACTCCTCCAAAACGCGGAACTCCCTCACCACCAAAGAACCACGCCGGAAGGCTATAACAAGCACCGAAAGAACGTGCTTGATCAGACTTGGCATAGAAACGTGCATTTACCTCTACCATGGCTTCCTCCTCGTCGACCCCGACGCCAATCGACGAGCGCGACCCCGACGCGGCGCTGTCGCCCACGTCTCCGGGCGAGGAATCGGACGCGGTGCTCTCCCCTGGTGCCACAGAGCCGGAGCCCATTCCAGGCATTGATGGGACCCCTGTGCGATGTGCGTACGCGTTTATTTAGCTGGTATTGTGCTGATGAGAGTGGCGGGCAGGGTACGACGTATGTGCATCCTGAATTTTTACTGCTGTGCAGTGGCGAATTTAATTCCGACGCGCGTATGTAGGCGAACCGCGCAGAGCCCTACACGCGCATCACGCCCTTTCAGGAGAAGCATGACACCAGCGTCGAGTGCGTTGCGTCCGCCCACTATTCAAGCAAGCTTAATATGCTCTATTCAGATTCTTATATAAACCAATAACCCTCACCGCGCTCGCTGTGCTCCTGATCCTGCTCGCCTACCTCGCGATGACGCAGGACGTCCTCGAGGAGGGGCGGGATAAGACCGTCGTGTGCGTGTCGCGTCCCTCCTTGACCCTTTCCAAGTTCTTTCCGCTGACACGCCTCACAGCGGCACCTCCGCCGCCATCCTCTTCTTCCTCACGTTCTGCACGCTCCAGTTCCGCGACGGCCCCTTCATCCGCCCTCACCCCGCCTTCTGGCGCGCCGTCCTCGGCGTCAACTTGCTCTACGAGCTCACCCTCGTGTTCTTGCTCTTTCAAGATTTAGGTCCGTGTCTCTCTCTCTCCTCCTTTCCCCCTATCTTTGCTGTGTGCATGCTGACGGACGAACGAACCCGCGCACAGACTCCGCACGCACCCTCCTCCCGCCCCTCCTCGGCTCCCTCGGCCGCCCTACGCCCCCGCTCGAAAAGTCTTACGCGGGTGCGTACATACCTTTGATGTTCCTATTTTGATTCTGATTTTATCCCTCCCTCCTTCCTTCTTGTATTTTTCCATTCCAAAAACGCTTGTATCCCGATACTAACACACGCACGCGCACGCGCACAGACGACTGCACGCTCACGCCGCGCGCGCTCTGGGACGCCCTCGACGTGTTCTGCGTCGCACACACGCTGGGGTGGTTCGGCAAGGCCATGATTTTGCGGGATTATTGGTTTTGTTGGGTGCGTTTTTGCGTTTTTGCGTTTTTTGCTTTGGTTTCCGTGGCGTTGGGTCTGTCCGATCTTGCCTGGCTGTTTCCGTTTCCGTTTCCGCTTCTGAGTTCTTTTTGGTGCGGGAGAGCTGCGGGGATGGGAAGGGGAAGAAAACAGTCTTCCTACCCCGAGGGAGAAGGGGTGTTGTGTGTGTGTGGGAGCGTATGGGGATGCGTCGTCGTGCTGCGCACGTGTACCCCGTTCCTCTGCGCTCTCCGCGTCGCGTCGCGTACGGCGAGGCAGCAGGGTTCCGGATCGTGAATTATATATAACCAAGCAAGAAACACGCTAACGTTATGCTCTGTGCCCACAGATCCTCTCCATCGCGTTCGAGCTGGCCGAGTACAGCCTCGCGCACCAGTTGGCGAATTTTAATGAGGTGCGTTTGTGTTGTGCTTGACTCGCTCTCGAGCTCTATTTTTTTGGGGGGAAATCGTCGACCTCTATTTCTATTATTATTATATTTAAAAATCGTTCGTCGAGGTGCGCTAACGCCCCCCGCAGTGCTGGTGGGACCACTGGATCCTCGACGTGCTCGTGTGCAACTGGGTCGGCACCTACCTCGGTATGAAGGTGTGTGGGTATTTCGAGGTCAAGGTGCGTTTTTTTTGCATTTTAAGTGTTTTGCCCCCGGCGCGCGCTCTTCTCTTTTTTTTTGGGGGGGGCGTATGGTTTGCGTGCGTTTCTTTGCGGGCGGTGTTTCTTTTTTGGGGGGGAGGATATATAAAGAAAGACGCTGATTGGTGGTTTTTACATTTTTATTTTTATCTCTGGAACTCTTTTTCGTCGGCGATTGTGCGGACGTTTGTGGACGAAATCGTGATACGAAAACCGAAATCGAAACCGACCCGACCGGACGACTACGACCTCGACTTGGACCTCGACATCGCCGGACCGCTATGGCCTCGCCTGTATCTGTATCGAACCCGATCCTGTCGCCACTTTGATCTCGACACCGCCGGACCACCGCGACTCGACCTGGCCTCACGATGGCTGCGACCTCGACCTCGACCTCGGCCTCGACTCGACCCGATTGCTGCTGTGAACGAATGGCTGTGCCCCCCGACCCGGTTTGCCAACTCACGCGGCACGCCCCTTCGCCTCGACCGCGGCATGTCGTGAACCTCGACCTCAACTTCTCCGGGTGTCTCCGCCTTGGCCCACCACCCGCTCCGTACGGCTCGTCTTTCTCTCACCTTTACCACCCGCCCCCCAACTCCCTTCCTCCCCCCCTCTCGCCCTCCCTTCCTGCCCTCCCTGCCGCCCACCCACCCATCAAATGGCTCGCTAACACCCACCGCCGCCCTGCTCGTCTGCCGCCTACCGCCCACTCCGTCCGTCTCGCCGTCCACCCATCAAACGGCTCGCCATCGCTCACCGCCGCCTCGTTGACGCTCGCCACCCACAGCCCTACTCCTGGCGCGGCCTCCGTGAGACGCGCGGCCTGCGCTCCAAGGCGCGGCGCGTCATCTCGCAGTTCTCGCCGCATGATTTTACGTCGTTCAAGGTGTGTGGCTTTTGGTGTTATTTTATCGAAATATACAAGAACTAACGAGCCTCACAGTGGGGCACCGCCTCGTCCTTCACGCACTACGTCGCGGTTGTGCTCCTGCTCGCGGTGTTCCTCGCGGCGGAGCTGAATCCGTTTTATTTGAAGGTGGGTGTCTGCGCCCTCATATTCTCGTCTCGACGGCTTCTCCGCTCTATTGCCCTGGCGAGACGGGGTTACCGTTCCCTCTACACTTCTCTCTATCTCAGCCCCTCATCCCGTCCATCTCCCCTGCCGTCTACGCTTCGTCTCTTCGATTCGTCCCCCCTCTCTTATACCTCTTCTTCGCACCCTCTATACCTCTCCTCCCCAGCGCTTCCATTCCCCTCCCCCGTCTCTACTGCTCCCTTCTCGCCCATCCCCTCACCGCGCCCGCACTTCCTTCCCTCCTGCTTCCCCTGCTCCTCTCACCACCTCTCCCCCTCCCTCTCTCTTCCATTGCTCCCTCTCCCTTCCATCGCTCCCCTCCCTTCCCCCTCCCTGCCCTCCGTATCCTCACCCCCTCTCTCCATCGCCTCTTGTCTTGTGTGTGCGCGCTTACTAACACCCCCCTCCTCCCCACAGACCCTCCTCTGGATGGAACCCGAGCACCCCATCGTCATCATGCGCCTCGCATTCATCTTCCTCTGCGCGCTCCCCGCCGTGCGCGAGCTGTACCAGTATATCAACGACCCGCGGTGCGTGTTTCTCCCTTGTCTCTCCCCTCCGCCCATCCCTCCCTCTTCTTCCCTTCCCTCCTCGTGTATTCCCTTCTTGCCCTCGTCTTTCCTCCTCCTACTCCATCCTCTCTCTCCACCCTATTTTTGATTTAATGCTTACCACGCCCCCCAGCCGCGCCGTCCGCATGGGCCAGCACGTCTGGCTCCTCCTCGCGACCGTCCTCACCGAGCTGCTCGTCATCTTCAAGTGGTCCAAGGGGCAGTTCCCCGCGCCGCTCCCCGGCGCGGTCAAGATTGGGTGGGGCGTCGGCGCGGGGATGCTGGTGATGTATCCGGTGTATCAGGTGGGTTTTCGGCCTGTTTTTGGAGTTTTGGACGCGTTTGGGGGCGGGCTGGAGAGTAGACAGAGGGCGTGGCACGCGGCTCGTGTCTCGCGTGCTGGCCTTCGTCGGCTTGGGGATCCGTG